TAATGCGATACAATTGCCAAGTGCCCAGCCCAGGTCGCGGGGTCAGTCTGGCGACCCCGCTCCGCGCGTATACCGGCCGGCCGTTTCTTTCCTTGTTGGGCGCCACGCGGGGCGCCACGCGGAGAGGCGATCTATCATCGGGCGTCGCGCTCGCCGCCGCGCGCTCTGTGGAGCGGCAGCCGCCGGACAGCGCCGGACAGCAGCGCTCTCGCGCGCACTCCAGCCGCGCATAATGTCAAGGGCTTCCCTTTCTTCTCACTCTCGGGGGTGTGTGGATGTGGAGTGGGCAGGGCAGGGTAGGCCAGCCGGTGGGCCCTCGGTGTGCCAAGCCCACACCGTGAGTCCGACGGACGGAACGCCCCGCCCCGCTCTGCCTCGCCCCGCCACGCGTGGTGGACACGTGCTGCGCAATGGAGGAAGCGGCAGCCAACATGGGAAAATCTCTCATGTTGTGGTCGTGGTGTGGCGCCTGCCCGGCCCGGCCCGGCCCGCTGTCCACCCAACTCTAGTTACTTAGCCCTGCCGGCCACGCCACGCTACGCCCCACCCTTCCATACCCCGCCCCACCTCACCCCACCCAGCCACGCCCCGCCACCGCTAACGCTGCGCCGCCCGCAACAACGTGTGAGCGCGATTTGATAATTCTCATCTCGTGTCAGCAAGAAAAGCTAGAGAGAGAGAGGGGGAGAGAGATATATAGAGAGACTCGCCCCTGCATTTTGTTTGAAATGGGGGCAGCTAAGACACAACAAGTGGGCTATTACCCCCCACGCCTACTTCGCCTGAGGTGAAAGACACTAATGCCGCGTATGTACTCTACGGTGCTGCATTGTCAGTTCGATGTCCTCTTCAAAACGTAATGAAAATTTACAAGGGACTTTTCTTCAAAAGCGACTAACTGTGTTTACAAGTATCAAAGAAACAAGCAAACCTGGGTTTTGTTTACGATTGCTTACTCACGGCGCCCTCGCTGGCGAGCGGACAGGCGCCTGGGAGGTAGGCAACCCTCGCCGGCCGAGCGCACGGGTGCTTTGTGCCTGCCTAACCCTCAGGCGCTTGACGACGCCTCGCGCGCTCTCTCTCGCTCCCTCGGGCCCCTCTGTCTCGCTCGCACGGCAGCGGATCGATATCGCGCCGTTATGATTATCCACTCCGACTGGCGCCGCACACACCGCACTGCCAATAACGCCCTTGGGCCGATATTACCCTACTGCGTTATTAGCAGAAAAATGTGTCCTTGGACTCGGCGCTCGCGAGTGCAATTTGCTTTCTTTCTCCCTTTCTTTCTCTTTTCCCCGTGTGGCGTGTGCCATGTGCTCGGCTATACAGACTTGGCGGAGGTGGATCATCCGGCCGTTCGTGGTGTCCCTCCCTGCAGCCGAGCTGGGCGGATCCAGCCCAGCCTGCCGCGCGGCCTTGACCGTGGCAGCGACCGTGGTGGGGCTGAGCTGCTCGGACCGACCGGGTCGGGTCGCGGGGGCTGTGAGGCAACAGGTTGGGCTGGATCCACCACCAGAAGTGCTTCCGCACGCAGTCGGCCCGGGGTAGCTCGTATCGCGGTGGCACGGTTAAACCCACGCCTCACGAGGGGTAATACCCCTCCGAGTTTGCGGCGCTGGCGTTCGCCACCGGCTAGCGCCGATGATCCTTTTGGCTGGAGTCTCCAGCGCGGCGGCGGGGCGGCGTGCGGCCTGCATTCGAGATGAGCTGCATTGTCCAGCCAGTCGGGCTGGCGGGGCAGGGCGGAAGCAGGTGAGAAAATATCCCTCGAAACACTATGGGATTTATTTCCGTTATAAACTCCTGTGCTCCAGCACCAGGGGCACTTCCTTC